GTAATACTACGTATATGAATAGTCGTTATCTAACACGTGAAAACTCTTTTTTTTGATTATTTTTTAAACAGATTTGCGAAGTTTTGAATCTCCACAAAATAACTCTATTATTTTTTTAATTATTCATCATAAAAAGTGTATTGTACTTTATTGTTTTGCTGGATTTTATTTTTCTGGAATTAATAATCTCTACTATATACTTTAAAAGAAGAAAAAAAATCAGAATCACATACTCGCTTACGTGATAGATTTATCGAGATCTTCCACGATAGACCGTATCATATGAATAATGTATTTAAAATTGTATTTTTTTTATATTATGAATATAATATATTAGTTTTTAATAAATAAAATCACGCGAAAAATGTCGAATTTTTTGGATGCCACTAAAAATGATAAAACCAGCTTGATCGACCATGTATTTCTATAGAGAATAAAAGTGTTGCTTTTGATGTTTTGAAAATAATAAAATCAATTTTTAAGTAACAATGAGTTTTAGTTTGGTATTGATATCTTTAGACAAAATATTTAAAATATTTATTTATTTTAAAATAAATTATTATTAAAAATATATGACATTCTATGAACGAGTGATGTATAGACTAAATTTTATAAATAATAGAATGGCAAAATAAAATAAATTCTTTTATATTTATGAGTTTTGATTGAATACCAATATTTTTAGTTTAAATAAATAAATAAATTTATTTATTTGAAAATAAAATAATATTAAAATATAATATAGAATTGAATATCATTATTTCATTAGATGAAAATATCAATATTCAAAGATATTAAAGAGTATCAAAACATTCACATAATAAATAATCGTAAATAAAATTATCCGAAAAATGTCATATTTCTTTTTTAGGGATGTCAAAGTTTTTGTGTATGGATTTTCTAACATTTTTTGAAAAAACTGTATTTTTTTCTTCTTTTTTTAGTAAATAAGTTATATTAAGAAGTATTAGAGGTGTTCCAACCCAACTACAAAAATTCGAGATAGATTTCGAAGAGAGGTAAGATTTCATTTCAAATATAACTTAAGTTAAATAATGTAAAAGGATTTTGCAAAACTCATAAAAATTACTATTAGAAAAAAAAAATCGCCTAAAATAGACCACTTCCAAACCATTATCTTGATACTTCAAACATGGCATGAACGTTGCAACTATCGTTATTAAACACAATAGAATTCCTCGTCATCCATAACGACCATGTAACTGCCAATCAAATAACATTATCTTTGTCGGACTTCACCTTCAAAGTCTTAAAAGAATTGAACCAAAACGGAAAGCTATCAGAAATATTAACCTGATTCGAAATTAGTATCTTCATTCAATCTGAAATGATGTTCTACTCGATCTGAGACATATTGCACGACAACACAAGATAAACTAAACTTTCATCTTGTTTTTCTATGTTTTTATTTTTTTTTTTCATTTCTCTTTCATGAATTTTGTCTAAAGTTAGGAGAAATTAGAGAGGATATGTTTTCAAGTTTCTGACTCTCCTCTATTATTTTTCTCTTCTTATTTTTTTCTGTTTTTTTTGGAGACACAAGATTAAACGAGATCAAATATAATTTTTTTATCACTTTTATTTATTTCTTAATTTTCACCATCGATATAGTCCAATTATAAGTCATTCTTATATTAAGTTATTTCAATTTTTTTCCGATCGCAGTTATAAAAAATCGAACTGGAATTCTCTCTATCAAATTCAACGTCAATCATTACTAAATCAACTAACGATTAATCATTTTTAAATTTTAAGAATGACAAAGAAGACATATCCATTTGTTTAATCTACTATTTTTAATTAGATATGTTGGTTTATTATCTTTAATGATTAGTTTGAATCAGAGTTGTTTAGCTTAACACTAGGGATTTTTTTTCAATTTACTTAAGTCATGTAGAAGAAAATATGATATCTACATCTGTTATGTTTATTAATGAGAGTGAAAATTAAAATTGAACGGACTCAATTAGACCTAAAACAACTAAATGAAGTTCCAATCAACTTTGATGATACCAAAGAACTTTCACTAATAACCTTTCTTTCTTCTCTTGTTGATTTATAAGAATTAGATTCCTAAAATGTCCACCCCTTATGATAGTCTCATCTGTATGCGTATCCTAACTTAGGATGATTCTTAGCCATTATTCAAATATTATTTTAAAATATCGCAATTTAAAAAAAACATTTTTAAATGAAATATTTGATAAATATGCTTGCAAGATAACACTTTACAAGGAATTTCATTGAATACATGTATAATAAAAAAGGAACCTTATTCTTATTCAACAAGGGTGGATGACAAAATATTACATATTAAAATTTGATTATTTATTTTCTAGGGTGGTGATTTAAAGATATAGACAATTACATGTTGTAGTTTTTAACACATTGTGTTTCTGTTCCACTATATAAGTGAGATAAATTAGTACAAGAAAGTCACAAAAGCTAGTGTAATATAATATAACACTATAGCTTCTATCCTATTCTAGCATATTTTTAACCTATAGTATTAAAATGTATATACTCTATTATTTGTGAGTTGTAGAAATTGCATTATTATATACTTAATTTGTTATTGAATACAATCAAGCCAAGCACAGAACAGAGAGAGGAAGTCTTCATTAAAAGGTAAAAGAATTCTAAGTTTTAAATTAATAATTTGTAAAATTATTAGTATCATTGGTTCCACAAAGTGTTCTTACTTTTTTTAGTTATTCTACTATTATAATATTATTTTATCTTTAATATGTTTTCTTTTTTAATAATATACTACCATCTCTATCAAACTCCTTTGTCAAATTTTTTTGTTCCATTTTGTAAGATTCTTTTCGGATTACAATATACATTAATGATTTTTTCCTACAGTAACAATACTAATTAAATGAATAGAATAAAAAAAAAATTTATTTCAATCTTTTAATAATTAAAGTATAATTTTGGAAAAAGAATTTATAATATTAAAAACCCTTATGTTAAATAATTAAGTTAATGTTGATAAGGTTTTGAATGACACAATTATTGATTCATACTTTAGTGTGGTTATTATTACCAGGAAAAAAATTCTCTGTCTTACCAAATTAGTGTATCTGAATGTAAGCTTTCTTCTAGTGATTACAAATTTCATGGCAACCGAACCTGTCGGTATATTTTAGGCATGTAAAAAGGACTCTTTAACTTATAACTTGAACCATAAAACAAGCAACAGTTACCCCTCATGAATTATTATGAAAAATTCAAATTAAAGATTTGTCAGTTTTTGTTTGTTATCAAAAGGTAAGTAAGAAATCGAATAATTTGGACTTAAGTATTAAAGAAATTTCTGCTAAAAACGTAATCTGAAAAATATCAGTTTTGATTCTCAGATAAGAATAACGTTTTTAGCAATGTTTATAATTTTCGGCACGAATTTTGAATTACTTTGTCTCTGATGTTTTTGTATAATTATTATCAAAGAAAATATAAGGTGACAAAATTTAGGATAGTGGCCGGTTGCTACAATAAGGTTTGCGTCAAAGCGGTGAGCAGGCAATTCATTGTTACACGTATTGCTGGGTTTCATATTCTTCTTCTCTTCTATCTAATTAGGTGGGGTTGGCACCATAAATCAAGATTAGGATCAATTTTATATTCATTTTAAAATTTAAAAACTTAATTAAGTTTTCACAAAAAACTATAAATTATTTTTTCTATTAGGTGCTACTTTTTTCCGTATAGTAACAAGAGGTGTTCAAAATCAAACTGACTCAACAGAAAAACGCAAAACTGAATTGAATCAAACTGAAATTGCAAAAAATCGCATTTGATTCGGATGTGTTTGGTCATTTCTTAACGAAATCGTACAATTTGGTTCGGTTTACGGTTTGTATTTTATAAACCGAATCAAACCAAACAAAACCGTATTATATTATAAAATCTTACTAACCAATATATATTTCTTTAATTTTTTATAGAGAAATTAACATATATTTTATCATATTTTATATGATATTTATTTTAATTTACAAATCATAAAAAAATAAAATATTATTCATTTATAAATATTATTTTTACAAAATATATTTTATCGTATTCTTTGTATAATATTTATTTAACAACACAATTTTATCTATATCATTATTTAGATTTAGATAAAATTATAATACACAATTTTATGTATCAAATTACAAATTTATTTTGACAATTATAAAAAAAAATTTATGATAATGTATGAACAATTAAACACAAAATTATATTTTTCTCGATATGAGTATGTATGGTTTAATAATTTTATTTATATAAAATCGAACCAATCGAGTCAATCCAAACCGTATTAATTTAATTTGATTTAATTCAAATTTCTTTTTAAAAATCAACCGAACTAAACCGAACCAAATCAAACTGTATATCTTTTTTTCTTATGATTCAGATGATTTTTTACTTTAAAAAAACTGTCAAACCACACTACAAACACCCGTAATAATAATACTCTTCGTATCTTTCTCCATTGACATATTGAATATTTATCATAAGCACACCATCTAATAAAAAATATTATTTTATTTTCAAAAGCTTAGATAGGAACTCAATTATTTGTATTTTGCATCCTTGTTTTGTTGAATCTATGTAAAAAAAAACATTAAAAATGATACCGTTTGACTCATCACAACAAGTGTCAACAAATAACGTTTCTTAAGTCTTGGTCGTAAAGTAGCATGTGAGTATGTCCAAAATATTTCCCTTTCAAAAATTTCAACACAATTTTTCTTCCTCATACACTTATTTATACCCCACACGCACCGCTTCATTTCAAACCACAACACAACTTTGAAACTCTTTGACTTCAAATAACACTTGTTCATTTTCTCACTACTTTATGTAATAGTAACTCTTGTAAACTAAGAGTGTCATAATTTGTGCAAGAAATTTTGATTCATATATATTATAGTCAAAGAGTTTTGAAGTAGAACATTAATTTGTGTTGTGGTTATAATTATTATAAGATGACTATGGCAAAGGGTGGCAACAATAATCATCAACAACAATCATTTGAAGTTTCTGTTGATGCTGCTGATTCCAAGTTCTTTGATGATGATGGTCATTCAAAACGATCAGGTGATCCATTTTTAATCTCTTGTGCTAGTACAAATTGTGTATCTGACGAGTATCAGATATCAGACACACTTTTGTTCAGAGGTTTCGATACTGACTTTCCTCAATTTTGTGTTTTGTTGCACTAAAACAGGAAACAAATGGACAGCAAGTGCACACATAATAACAGCGGTTATTGGCTCTGGAGTGCTGTCGTTGGCATGGGCTATAGCGCAACTTGGATGGATTGCTGGCCCGTCGATGATGCTTCTATTCTCATTTGTTACTTACTACACCTCCACTCTTTTATCTGCTTGTTACCGTACCGGTGATCAACTCAATGGGAAAAGAAACTATACTTACACTGATGCTGTTAGAGCATATCTCGGTGGTTTTAAGGTTAAAATTTGTGGATTGGTTCAATATGTTAATCTTTTCGGTGTTGCCATTGGATATACTATAGCAGCTTCTATAAGCATGATGTGAGTAATAAATTATCAAGTTAAGTTCAAATTTGAAAGTTTCTTATTATGAAATTGTGCTGATTGGTGTTTTTTTTGTTGAATTTTACTTGACAGGGCAATTAAAAGGTCTAACTGTTTTCATAGCAGTGGAGGGAAAAATCCATGCCATATGAATGGAAATCTTTACATGATTTCATTCGGTATTGTGGAGATATTTTTCTCGCAAATTCCAGACTTTGATCAGTTATGGTGGCTCTCTACTTTAGCTGCTGTCATGTCCTTTACCTACTCTACTATTGGACTTGGCCTTGGTGTTGGCAAAGTTATAGGTGTTAAACGATTCTATAAAGTTTTCTGTTATTTTGCAAAAAATTATTAAATAAGTGTTTTAAAAATTTAGTATGGTTTGATTTTGCTATATTTTCTCACAAAATCAATGAAAACATGTTGTTATACGATTTTGATTTGAATTGGATATGTTACAGAAAACAAGGGTATTAAAGGAAGCTTAACTGGTATAACCGTTGGTACTGTCACACAAACCCAAAAAGTTTGGAGGAGTTTCCAAGCTCTTGGTAACATAGCTTTTGCATACTCCTACTCAATGATCCTCATTGAAATTCAGGTAAATTTATGAAACTCATGATCACATGAACAATAACATTTTCTTAAATTTTAGTCTCAAACTCAAATGGTTGTTATCTTATTATGAAACAGGACACAATCAAATCCCCTCCATCAGAATCAAAAACAATGAAGGCAGCTACTTTAATCAGTGTTATAGTCACAACAATTTTCTACATGTTGTGTGGTTGTTTCGGATACGCTGCTTTCGGAGACTTGAGTCCCGGAAACCTACTAACTGGTTTCGGTTTCTATAATCCTTTCTGGTTACTCGACATAGCCAATGCCGCGATTGTAATCCACCTTGTTGGCGCTTTCCAGGTTTATTGTCAGCCTATTTACTCCGCAGTGGAGAAAACCGCAGCCAAAAGATTTCCGGATAGCCATTTCATCAACAAAGACATTGAAATTCCAATTCCTGGCACGGTCTCGCCTTTAAAAATCAATCTCTTTAGATTGGTTTGGAGGTCATCTTTTGTCATCGTAACAACCATATTATCAATGCTTCTACCGTTCTTCAACGATATTGTAGGACTTATCGGAGCGGTTGGATTTTGGCCTCTGACAGTGTATTTTCCGGTGGAAATGTACATTGTCCAAATGAGAATACCAAAATGGAGCACAAAATGGATTTGTCTACACATGCTTAGTGCGGCTTGTCTTGTGATTTCTTTAGCTGCTGCAGCTGGTTCTGTTGCTGGTATTGTTGCTGATCTTGGACTTTTCAAGCCATTCCATGCTATGTACTAGTTATAGTTATGTAATAGTGTTACTTTAGTCTTACTTCTTGCATATTTGAAACCTCTAGGATTGTGGTGTTCTTGTTAATCTTGTAAGTTTTTTTTCCTACTTTTATGTAACCTATGTTTGTGACTAGATATGTAATACAAATTTCCAATGAGAAATTGTATAAAGGCTTTCATATTTTCTAACAACTTTTACTTTTGTTCCAAAAGTATACTTTTGAATTGTTATGGCTTTTTATATAACAGTGGAGAGAAAAGAAACTTTTGCTTTCCGTACGAAATTCAATACCTACCTCAAATTTTGTAACTTTTTGTTAAATAATTAGTGATGTTGGAAGATTCCTAGAAGCTAGTAGTATTAATAAATTATGAAATGAAAAAATATTACAAAAGATGAAAGAGTGTTTGGACTCACGTCCGTCTCAAGGCTTGAAAATTTTGAGGTTCAGTAAGGGGGCCACAGGACAAATATAAACCATTGAAAGTGTAAATGTAACTAAAAATGAAATAACTGGTTGAGAAATGATGTTGATGTTAGAAACTCTACAGAACACCACTTATGACTCATTGTGCCATGTGCTCCTTTCATCAACTCAAATTTGTAATGAAAACATATACACGTCTCTATAGTGACCCTCTTATCCCATAAAATTGTTCAGTGGAAACAAAATGTGAGGATAACATATGAGTTTGGATTAATAGGAGTAGAGTTGTAAGATTAACATTTTATGTAAGAAACATTTGATTATATTAGACATAGTGAGCACTCTAACTCATCAATATCTTAGAAAACACGTTTTTGAGTTGGACCTTTTAATGATTAGACTTTAATGCTCTTTAATCCGTGTTGGTCCACAATAAAAATAAAGATTCATTGATCTGAAACTTGAATTGAAAAATTAAAATGACACTGAAAATAAATTAATTGATAATAGATTAATAATTGATAAAAAAACAACAAATTTTATTATTATCATTTAATAGTTAATATAAATGAACAATAGAAAATAGTGATTAACATAAATTATAATAAAAAGTACCTAAAGGACATCTAAACTCAAAAGTGATAAATATATATTAACTTAATTGTGCTAGGTAGGAACTAATAATCAGTTTAGGTGTGCGGAAAAGTGTCTTAGTGGAGTGGTGATTTGGCTATGAGAATTGTGGTACTTGTAAGTGGTGTCCCTTCATCATATATACTAATTAGGGTCAAATTATCATGAATGTGTGTGGGTTAGTGCATAATAATAACAATGGTGGAGAGTACTTCTTGAGACCACTGTATCTTTAGATTTTGACTATAAACAACGCATAATAAAGTGTTGTTCTTTGTGTTCATATACACAATTATTTAACTTGTAATGGAGAATCAAAGAAGGATTCCAAAACCAAGGGAAAGTAAGATTCCATGTTTGAAACATAATATTATATTCCACTATAAATCATGTCATGATTTACATTAAAGACAAATGCAAATATATGGAATGATTTGTTGGATTTTTGTTACACCCTTTTTCTTACACATACTCATATAAATTAATTTTACATTTAAAGAAAATCTCACATTAAATAATAGAATCTACATAAATTTAATTTGATCAAAAATAAATAAAGTAAAAGTAACAGAGAGTGATTCTTTCTTATTAATTTTGAATAAGTTTGAATTGATTTGTCAATCATTGTATATAGATACCCATTCATATATTATTATCGATAGAAAATATTTATTTTTTAAAATGCTTGATTTAATTAATCATTATATATATATATATATATATATATATATATATATATATATATATATATATATATATATATATATATATATATATATATATATATATATATATATATATATATATATATATATATATATATATATATATATATATATATATATATATATAAAATAAAGAATAAAAATTTAATTGAAATACACTGACAATGTAGAGAACTTTTACACTGTCAGTGAATCATGATCGTTAGATTATAAATTATATTTTATTTTTATTTTAATTATTTATTAAATAATATTAGTGGGTAGCTGTGATGCACTGACCGTGTAGAAATTTTACATTGACAATACATAACAATTAATCTCAAAGAATAAAATACTTAAATAAAATATTTTATAATGTATTAATGTAGGATTTGGATCCCCTCCTTTTATTTTTCTCTCTCCATTTCTCTCATTCCTCTCTATCTTGAATCCTTTCCTTCTATTTTCGGTTCATTTCTCTCCTTCCTCTCCATCTCTCTTAATCTCAATCTCTTTCTAAAACAAAAATAATTTTATAATAAGAAAAAAGAGTGTGATTAATTAAGAGAGAGTATGTGATTAAGGAGATAAATGAAGAGAAAAATAGAAGGAAAGAATTCAAAGTGATTAATCTATCAAACTTTGATGAAAATACTGCCTAGGATTGGAATTTATGCGATGCAATTAACAAGCCATTGATGAGTTATGGCTTTGACGAAGAAACTGATGAAGTCGAAGTCGAAGAAATTACCAGTATTCTAGTCAAATTTGAAGCAGTTGCTGACATTCTTGACATTGTCGAAGTCGAAGAAGGTGTGGCTAGCATAAGCCAAAGATCTCAAAGAACTAGAGTTTTTCCAATAAGACTTCAAGACTATGAAGTGACTGGTGATGATGAAGTCACACCAGATGGAGAATTAGTTCATTTCGCTTTACTTGCATGTGTTGTACCAATCAACTATAACGAGGCTTTAAAGAATAAACAATGGAAGTCTTCTATGGTCGAAGAGTTACAAGCAATTAAAAGAAACAACACATGGGAGTTAGTCGAATTGCTAAAACATATAAAAGCTATCGAAGTGAAGTGGGTGTTCAAGTTGAAGCACAATGTTGATGGATCAATAGAAAAACATAAGGTGGGATTGATAGCTCGAGGATTTCTTCAGAGAGTTGGACTCGACTACTCTGAAGTATTTATACCTGTCACAAGATTGGAGACTGTCAGATTGGTTGTCGTCTTGACATGCAAGTAAGTTTGGTCGATGTTTCACTTAGATGTGAAGTCAATATTTCTAAATGTTCCCTCAAATAAAGAGGTCTATGTCACACAACCTCCGGGGTTTGTGATTCAGGAGGAAGCAAATAAAGTGTATAAGTTGCACAAAGCATTGTATGGCCTCAAACAAGCACCTAGGGCATGGAACAAGAAGATTGACTCATACTTAGTCGAATTGGGATTCGTCAAATGCAAATATGAGTATGGTGTCTGTGTTCAGATTGTGGCACAAAATATAACAATCATCTACTTATATGTCGATGACTTGCTGGTAATTGGAAATAACTTGGAGAACTTGTTGAAGTTCAAAGAGCTCATGATGAGGGAATTTGAAATATCGTATCTGGGAAACTTGTCTTATTTCCTAGGCATGGAATTTCAAATGTCGAAGCAACGTAAAGTGCTACATCAAAGAAATACTCAAGAGATTCATAATGGAAGACTCAAATCATGCGTCCTCACATGCCGAACCAAACTTGAAACTGGAGAAACATGGAGAGGATGACAAGGTTGATGCTACTTTGTTCAAACAAAGTATGGAATCTCTGATATATGTGTGCAACATTTGATCTAATATAGGTTTCATAGTCTAATTAAAGAGCAGATACATAAGTGGACCAAGGGTGTCATAAATGAATGCTGCAAGAAGAAACATGAGATACTTAAAAGGATTGATAAATTATGGAGTTTGATTCTGAAAGCAAACAATCTACAGTTACTTGCTATTCAGATGTTGATTGGTGTGGAGATAAGAAAGATTGAAGAAACACAACTGGTTATTTATTTCAAGTCTTTGGTGCCTCAATCTCATGGTGCTCGAGAAAGCAACATGTGGCGGCATTGTCATCGTGTGAGGGTGAATATATAACAGGTTCCTATGCAGTGTGTCAAGAAATTTGGATCAGATATGTGCTGGAAGAGATTGAGGTCGAAGTGAAGAAACCTCTGGTGATGCAGATCGACAATAAGTCAGCTATAAATCTTACAAAGAATCCAGTTTTTCATGGAAGGAGTAAGCACATTGAAGCTAGATTTTACTTCTTAAGAGAGAAGGTAAATCAAGGTGAACTTGAAGTAAGGCATTGCTCAAGTGAAGTACATTTGGCCGATATTTTCACCAACGGATTAGAGGTCGACAAATTCCTGAATTTGAGAAAGAAATTAGGAATAGTTCAAATTGACTATGATTAGCGTATGTTATACAACTTAGATTATAAGGGGTATGTTGTGATATAATCCAAGTTAAGTAATCCAAGCTCAAACCCAAGTTAATTAGAGTTTGTTAGTTACTTAGTGTATAAGTTATATATATATATATATATATATATATATATATATATATATATATATATATATATATATATATATATATATATATATATATATATATATATATATATATATATATATATATATATATATATATATATATATATATATATATATATATATATATATATATATATATATATATATATATATATATATATATATATATATATATTGTTGGGTTTTGGTTTGTTGGCGCTGCATTTTGTTAAAACAACTAGTTCAACAAGATGTTGGAGAAGATGTCGTGACATGTTGGTACGACATTGCAGCATGTATTGTTTCTATTTTTAGAAGATTTGTATCTTGTGCTTCATAAGATTTGTTTGATGTTTCGTATGGACCAAGTTGCGCATGTTGATATTTGATTCACTAAAGATTTGTTTCAAGCAAGAAATATCTAAAGATTTGGTTCTTAAGATTGTATGTCAAAATATTAATGGGAACATCATATTTTGCACCAGAAGATTTAAATTGATATGATTTAATTTGTAGATTATTTGATTTGGCCATATTTAATATCCAAGCCCATGTGCTTCTATGGTTATGAAAAGAAAGACTTTAAACTTAAAGGATTTACGAAGCTGCATGTGAGAGAATATACTTTAGGGTTTCGCCTGTTCATTGTTTTTTGTGA